AGACTTTATTCTTTGGTTTATATGACAGTTGGGGAAAAGTAAAACCTATAGGGATGGAAATTAGAACACTGATTCCCAGGAGATGGAGGGGAAGAGGGGGATATTGACTGAAAAGGAACATGAGAAAACATTTTGGGTAATTGTAGTAGTTACACAACTGTACGAGTTCATCAAAATTCAACAGACTGTATACCTGAAAAGGATAATATTATCCTATGTAAATTTAACCTCAATGTACCTGATTTTTTAAAAGATATTTTTAATGTTTGTTTCAGTTTTGAGAGAGAGAAAGAAACAGAGACCGAGCTGGAGAGGGGCAGAGAGAGAGGGAGACACAGAATCAGAATCAGGCTCCAGGCTCTGAGCTGACAGCACAGAGCGCCATACAGGGCTTGAACCCATGAGCAGTGAGATCATGACCTCAGCCGAAGTCAGATGCTTAACCGACTGAGCCCCCCAGGCGCCCCTCAATGTATCTGATTTTTTAAATGTCTCATTACAAGAAACTTGTTAAAGGAGTTAAATGTAATCTAATAAGGTAGAACTTCTGAATTCTATCTTTTTTTCCCTTGCTTTGATTATTTTTTAAAAATTATTTTTAGGCTTATTTATTTATTTTGAGAGAGTTTCAGCAGGGGAGAGTCAGAGAGAAAGAGAGACAGAATCCCAAGCAGGCTCTGCACCATCAGCACTGATGCACGCTGTGGGGCCCAAACTCAGGAACCATGCAATCATGACCTGAGCCGAGATAAAGAGTCCGAGGCTAATGGACTGTGCCACCCAGGTGCCCCAGCCCTTGCTTTGATTATTAAGGCAGGTTACTCTGTTCCATTTCACACCTCGTCTACAATCTTTCAGGAATTTTCAAAGATTACCTAACAACTCCAGGTCTCAAAAGGGGGGGCCTCCATTCCTTATATCATTGCCAGTTTTAAAGATTAAACTCTTTGAAAAGAAAGCAAAGTACCTTACTTACCATTTAATCTTTCTTATGCTGACATAGCACTGTGTCCCCTCCAAACCTTGGGCCTTTTTTGGCAGTGTTCCTCTTCCTCATTCTTGGAACAGAACTTTAAACTACACCCTACCACCCTGAGCTTTAGAGACTCCCACATGAAATCAGGGAAACGTTAGTCTTCTGTGAAGTCGATCATTCCAGCCACTGAGGTACCCACCCCCTTCTCTCCGCTGGGGCTGCTGCCTCAGGGGGTCACTAGGACCCACTCTGCTGACAGTGGGCAGTGTCAGAAAGAGTACAGGTTGATGATAGTAGTGTCCCATCTCAGCCTTGTTTGTTTTTTGTTGCTATTTGTTTGCGGGTTTTTTTTATTTTGACAAGTCTTCGTATTTTTTTTTTAAGATTAGACTATAACTTTTGATTACCAATTTGTAGTAAGAGCTCAAACCACAAATTTTTAGAGATACAGATAACATCTTATTTGCCATTACATTAAGATCTAGTGTACGTTGGGGTGCCTGGATGGCTCAGTTGGTTAAGTGTCCGACTCTGGATTTCAGCTCATGTAATGATCTCCCAGTCTTGGGATGAAGCCCCATGTCCCGCTCAGTGCAGATCCTGCTTGGGATTCTCTCTGTCTCCCTCTCTCTCTGCCCCTTCTCCACTTGTGTGCTTTCCCTCCCTCTCTCTCTCTTTTTCTCTATCTTTCTCTCTCTCAAAATAAAGAAATAAGCTTAAAAAAAGGTCTAGTGTACTTTGATTACCACTTGGGCTCTAAGGTCACCAATATGGCTCCCAGCCCTCCTCCTCACTTTGGTGATGGACATCTTACCCTCACCCTGTCTGTTGTCTTCCCATGGTCTTTCCAGGCTCTAGTTCTAAAATTTTGGGAGTATGTTACTCCCTTCTTCTCAAAATTCTCCTTATATCCTCTTATAACTTTGGCAATTGTCTATCCTTTGGAAAAAACAAATCTTCTATTTCTTAATCAAAAGACCAGGAGACTATCACATGTTTTTCAATATCATCCAAGGAGCTTTGATGGGAGGATGGACTTTGGATCAGCTGAGGAGAAGAAGGAGGGCAAATAAAGGTGCCCAAGTAGGAATGGCCATCACAGGTTTGGGGATAGAAAAGATTAGAGCCTGAGATAAGCCTATCAAAAATAAAGAACTAGAACACATGATCACGAAGGGCGGAGAAAGGAGGCCTGAGAAATGCAAATATGGTATGAAATCTGATGCTGTGTTTGTATCATCTGCCACTTCCAGCAAAAATGTTTAAAATGTGGCATGAAGATGACACATTGAGCATAGCGCTGGTTGTCTCTTTCACTTGTCTTGTTCGGGAGGAGAAACTTTTTGATGAATCTGAATTTAGAAGAACTTTTAAATTTTGACTACCTACTTCAAGCCATCATGGCAACTGGGTAACCCAGGTAGTAATATTTGCTTATGAAATGCTCTCTGAGATTAATCTGATGAAAATGTATGCAAATGCCAAGTATAACTTTAATATTAAGTCTGTGGCTGAAAAATGTTCTTTTCCAAAGGCAAAAATTGATCTCTGGTGAAAAAGATTTTGGAGATTTGACTGCAGAGATTTGACTAACAGATAACCTTAGTTTATTTTCTGTCTAGGGCTGAAAGTCAGCCTTATCCTTTCTGTTTTTACTTTTATTTTTATGTAGATTCTACATTATTCCTCTTCTCCTTTCTGTATGTCACTATGAATGAAATATATACCTATTTTTCTGGGGTGGTTGAGGCTAACAGAATAGCATGATGTTTTCAGAAATTTCTTTTAATCATCCTGCGATTTCACACTTTTTTGTGTGTGCTATTCTAATACAACATTACATTACTTAAAATATTTGGATTTATAAGCCTCACTGAAAGCTGCTGGAATAGAAGCTATGTTTTGTACTTATTATCCTATGCAGTCTTCCCTGTATGTTTTTTGATGCGCAGGTAATGTTAAATGAAAGAAATGAACACAATTTACATACAATTTTCCATGTTGAAAGATAATATTTCAAACAGTTACTTTTCTTTAAGTTTGATTTACTTCTTTATTAAAGCCTCATTAACATACCATGTTATATTAGTTCCGGGTGTACAACACAAGTCATTCTTTTTCTCATGTTGAAAATTCCACAAGCAATTTTAGGCTCCTCTACTGAGCTCAATGGTCTTTCAATTTCCATAGTCTTCTGTCCATATCCTGGGATTAAAGAAGAGCACCCTAAGCTTTAGTACCTGTGACCTGAAGCTTAGGGTTAGAAAGAATCTTGCAGATTTCCTAGTCAGACTGTTGTCATCTTACAAAGCTAAATAACTTCCTCCAGATCACAAAGTGCCTAAAGTCAGAGCCTGTGTGAAGGCTTGGCACACGTGGTTCTCAGTGCAGGACAAAGATGACAACGAATCCTGCCAATGATCTGTTGCATATTATAGAAGCAAGAAAGGCCATCAGCCAAGAAAGGAGACCATCTTAAAAACCGTTCATCATGGTGACAACTTTTCTCCATATTTACATAGGCCTATCCACTTTGTTCTTGAGTTTTAAAAACCTTGATCTTAGACAGAAAAGTGAGTAAGAAGAATTATCATCTTCCAGGCCTACAAGTCTGATAATATCTCTCAGACTCCCTGGTAAATATTAAAGCATATGGATTCCCTTCCCATTGTCTCATTGAGAAATGGAGCTGAAGTTGGTTTTCCCAGTCAGCAATGCAAGATACTATAGCAAATATATGCAGATGTTTGAACTCAAAGTTTGAGAAACTAAGCTAAAACTGCCTATAGAATGTGATTTCTCAAAAAACAAGAACAAAAACAACAAAGAGTAAAACATACCCACAGCATGAGAAGAACATAAGAACAAGAGGTAATCCAGAATGGTAGATTTCTCTGGCAAATTACTTAACTTCTCTGGGAATTACTTCATCAGTAAAATGGAAATAATAATACCTCATTTTAGTATTGTTTCCAGGATTATATAAGGTGATACAGAATGAATCACCTGGCATAGATTCAGAGCTCAAATATTGGCTATTAACTTTAATATTTAACCTAGTGAAACTAAATTCTGCATACTCTGCCATAGATAAAGAGGGCAGTTACCACCAAGAGAACGTGGCACTATAGAGGCAAATAAAATTCATCCAGTGGTACAAAGAGCTCTAAACAGGAATAAAGCATGAGAATAGAGGCAATTTGTAACCAGAGCCAAACATTTAGACATTAATGGATGGCTTCACTCAGTTATTTTTGTGGACGCAGCCATGATTAATTTTTCCACCACTCCAATCAATTCCATTTATTGTCCAGACTCCCTGACAGATCTTAAAGTATATGTATTCCCTTCCAGTTATCTCACTGAGAAATAGAGCTGAAGTCAGTTTTCCTACTAGCAATGCAAGATACTGTAGCAAAGATATGCAGATACTTGAACTATGATGATGTCTTATATTTCAAATTCTGGCGTGCATGGTTGTCTAAGCACTGACTAGTCCTATCTCCTGAATAAATGAAGTCTGAAGAGTTTTTAGTTTTTTTTTTTTTTTAAATCTTTATTTATTTACTCTTGAGAGAGAGAGAGAGTGGCAAAGGGGCAGCAAGAGAGAGAATCCCAAGCAGACTTCATGCTGTCAGCATGGAGCCAGTCATGGGCTGGAACTCACAAACCATGAGATCAACATGAGATGAAATCAGGAATCGGACACTTAGCCAACTGAGCCACCCGAGGACTCCATTTTTGGTTTTGTAATGAGATGGAGAATCAGAGCTAAATCATGTGTTAAATACCTAGACTTGCTAATCATTAATGACAAGTCTATCGATGATAAATCTTCTAAATGCACCTTGAATTTCTTACGGTCAAAAGAAATACATTTACTTGTGTTCTACCTTTCATAATGGTTGACACTATATAAGAACACAATAAATGGCTGTTTAATTGAATGTTCTGGATTAAGTGGCTGTTTTATATCATGCTGTAAGTTGTTCATTTCTTTTTCCCTACCACTTCTTATTTGCAGTTTGATCACTCATGGCTTTGGGACTCCAGCAATATGTGCAGCCCTCAGCACCTTCCAAACAGTCCTCAGTGAAATGCTGAACTACTTGGAAAAACACACTACCCACAAAAATGGTGGAGCGGCGGATTCTGGCCAAGGACATGCCAACTCGGAGAAAGCCCCCCTGCGGAAAACTTCAGAGGCTGCTGTGAAAGAGGGCAAAACAGAAAAGACAGACTAGCTGCATCAAACAGAATCTATTTCTAGAGAGTCTTGCTGCTGATATTTTTTCTAATATATATATCATTGAGGGTGATTAATCTTCAGTGGACCAAATCTCTACCCTCTCCCAACCCTCCATAAAAAACAAAAATGGAAATGAAAAATGAAACAAAAAGGACAAAACCCCCCAAAAAAAGAAAAAAAAGGAAAACAGCAGTGTAACCGTGTGATGAAATTGTCACTTTTTAATTTTATGTTATGATAAACTCTTTTTGTGCACGTAATTTATTGTTCCGGATTATATACATCACAGTTTTTAAGCACTTCTGGACTCTGGAGAGGCAGCACATGCTTTTTCACATCTAACTGATGCACTTTCTTATCCAACTATGTAGTTAGGGATTAGAAAGCATGACCAACTGGAATCCACCACCAGTGCTTACAGCTCCAGTCTTTCTTCACTTAATTCCCTGGTAACAGAAGAGTGCCTCTTTCCATTAAATAGACCAGTCTGGCAATCAATCCATCAATAAATGCTTTGGGAACTGAAAAGGGCAGTCATGAATCTTTGTACTGGGAATTGACAGCAATTCTAAAATGTTGGTCACCCCACTTCACATATATTTTGGTTAAGCCCACTTAACTACCAGTGCCTTGGTGGTATTTCAAAATTCCAGAAAACTCTGCCCTTTTTATGTATGACCATTCCCACCCCACCCTAAGATCTACCCCCACTCCATAACTAAGAAGAGACAGCATAATATTGAAGAGATAAGAAATGAACTCTTCTTTTCTTTGCATCCCCAGCCTAACAGTTCAAGGAAGCAGACTGCACTTAGTGGCTCGGGGCAGGATGGCTACAGGAAACGGTAGCTTTGCCACTCTTGGGCTCCTGAAGGGAATCAGTGGTATTGTGTTGCCTGGAAAAGCGTGGAAATAGGAAAAGTGATGTTTCCAGGAATCCTTGCCCCTCAGAGACAAGAGAAGAACCCAGGGGACTAGTAGAGGCCCCCTTAAGCGGTGGTGGCCAATGATTGTATGGTTAAAATATGAGCCGTTCTTTTTCTACCTTTGTGCTTCTTCTACATGCCTGATGGCTGTGTTCTAAACCTTTAGAGGCACAGAAGCATTCGGGTCTGTGTTCAATAAAGAAAACAAAACCAGAATGATCAGAGAAGACTTTTGCTTTTAAGATGCTTCCTTTTTTATAGCTTGTTCTTGTACCTTCCTTGTCCTTTAGTTAAGACTCTGAAAATGAGGTTCCTGGCTGCAAAGGCCAGGGGCTAATTGAACGAAAGTTTGGTCCATTTAAACCTGAACGTGTCAAGAAAGCTGATTCGTACCACACTGTACTGCCCTTTCTATTGTTAACAATTTTCAAACTTCTAAGCAACTTAAGATGTAGGTCATTGTCTATGAAAAAAATTATTTTAATAATATATGGACTGCTGATACTAAGGTTAGCATGAAAATATTGTTCTCTTCTTAACACATTTCAATTACTTTCAAAAAGTCTCTGTCATATTATAAGCCCATGGGGAATATTAGTATTATTTTTAATCGAGAGGAAATTAATTGCTCAAGATTTTTCATGTAGAGAGCACACAAGATATTTTTACCTAACAATAATTCTTAAAACTACTTGACCTTTATCTTCAATCTTGTACAGAAAAGAAGAAACAATCAATGAAAATCTAAATTTTCTAGACTAAATTCAATTAACAGAAGACACTACTAAGGAATTCTATAATAAAGGGGTTTTATAGTTATATCGTAGAAGAGCTTAAAATAAATGTAACAGTAATGAATTGTGATTTCATGTGTTTACCTAGGCCCATTTTTTAAATTTTGCCATTACTCATGGATTAAAAGTTTTTTGAAATAAAATAGAATAAAGCAGGAATTCTTCTGCAGTTCCAAATTTCATCACAAAATAAATGATTCCATTTTACATGAAATTTCCCATATTGTAAAATATACACATGAAACAAAAATGAATATTTAAGTTTAATAAGTAGTAGGAAGGCTATATACAGACAATACAGGCTCCTAATATTTCCTTAATGAAATTTCCACATTAACTTTCTTTTATTCCTTTTATTATGAACAGTTATATATGTATTTAATATGGCATTTTGATATGCATATCTGCTAGATACTTAATGTAGTTATATACCATGTCAAATGTTCACCAATAACCAGATGAAAAATTAGATCTGGCTTATAGTACCACCTTACCCACCCATAGTTATGACTAGCTGGGGTTCTTAACACCTAAATGGGGTGTTGTTATTTGTTAGCCTTGAAAACAAAAGTATAACTATAAAAAACTACAGTGCATATAATTTACCAGGATTCTGGGTGTGTTAAGAGCCTTAAATGGACAGCATCCATCGTTTAACTTAACCAGCCATTAGGCCATAAATGAATTGATGGACTGGTCATGTTTAGAATCATTTATTATCATATTCAAATAGACATTGTTAACATACCAACTTTTGCCTTGTATATAATAGGTACTCAACACTTTTTAAATAAATGAGTAAATGAATGTGTGTGTGTTCTTTGTCCAAAATGGGCCAAAGGACCTATTACTTCTGATTTAGATTTTATTTTTTCCCCAATACTGAGTGCTTCAATCTGACTTGCTTCTTCCATGGTAATTTAGAAATAAGTATTTTTATTTGAATAAGATCACATTTCCACTGTATCACATTAGTTTCAAGTAGATATGTTTAATATAGAACAATAATGAAAACTAGGTAGATATCAGAATTTTAACAAAAGTGAAGTTATAATTGGTATCATAGTATATAGTGAAGGTAGTTCACAGAAATCTATTTGATTTTCAGTGTTATAATGAGTAATAAAGCAATGAAAAAGTTTTTCAGATTAACTGTTACTTGCCCAGAAAAATTGTCCAAATCTCTCATACTTACCCATAATTAATAATAAATGTAAAAATTTTTATATTTAAACTTGTGAAATATAAAGACAATTTCCTATGAAAAGAAATGTCTAAGGCTGTTTCAATAACCAATGTAAATGCCACCTCCGTGGCTATTTCATTAGACTTACCATTAGACTTAAGTTTGATGGTTCTAGAAAGATAAATGAAACTCTGAATTACTCTATATTTTTCTCTGGAAAGATCAGCACTGGATGGTTTCTAGTCCATTCCCCTGCTCTCTTCTTTGCATATGTTTTTAAAATAGGGATCATTCTTTCTGGCTTCGCAGTTCCCTTTTCCTTTTCCTTCTTTGAGGGCATATTCTTTTCAACGTCTAGGATAGAACATGACCCTTTAGTATACCCAGGAGCCCCCAACCCTACTGTGACAGTGCTAAGAATTTGACCTTCTGTCACCTGCTGCTTTTAAGATAAATGTGTCAATAAACCACCTTGTTAATGACAAGTAAAATTGTAAAATCCCATTGTCCTGTATTTTCTTCCTTTATTGCCTCATTGGAAGCATTTTAGAGCAATGCAATTTTTAAAATGTATCAGAATCCTTTACACAAGGAGCATGCCATGTCCTTACAGAATCCAAGTCAATATGTGACAGGTGACATGGAGTAGTGACTAAGAGTTTAGACTCTAAAGTCAAATTACCTGGTTCAAATCATGGCTTTTTCCACTGGCTACTGTGTGACCTTGGACAAGCTGTTGAACCTCTCTGTGCTTCCATTTCCCCATCTGTAAAATGATGATACTAATAGGTACCTACTCTCATAATAACTATCAGCACCAAAGACCTAATGTATCTAATCTGTTAAGAGCAAATAGGGGCATAGGTAGTGCTATGTGAGTGTTAGCTAGTGTCTTTAATATTTAGCTTGGACAAACAATTTTTAAAATCTGGATACCAGTCTCTCTTCAGTTTATTGGACCCTTTCTATATGTCAGGCTCTGTCCTAGGGGCTGAAAATACACAGTAGAATGGAACGTTTTTTTTGCAAGTTTCTCACAGTCTCCTGTGAAGACTCCAGCCTTTAGAATATGGTAACTATCATGGTGAAAATGTACACAAGTTTCCCCAGCAGAAACCACAGCACCTTCCAGGGAACTGGAGAGGAGGGTATAAAGGGTGGGGGAAGGGAGTTATGATCAGGGAAACAGAATATTGATCAGGCAACAAGGGATGTTATGTTTCTGGGTGAATTCAAAACATTTGGGGCAGGATGCTATTTTGAAAATCAACAGATGCACCTCATAGTTCTGGTTATCTCCACCTTCCTCCTCCCGTTTTGGGCAGCTAACATTTTGTCTGTACTGCCTCAAGGCAGGAATGTGACCCAATGGAATGCAGGCAACAGAAGAGTTGAACTTCTGTACAAGTTTTCAGTTTTAAAATCTCAGGCCCTAAGGAGGAATTGAGGTTTAAAAGTGTATCAGTCAGGACCTCTTTCTTCCCTACACACACACGCGTGCGCACACACACACACACGCACACACTGGAGACCAGAAAATAGTCCCTATGTTAGGGAAAGAATGAGAGAAAAAAGAAAACGCAGCTATTGCTGATCTCTCAGAGAAAGGGCTCTGTCCCTGAGGATGAGGCTGGAGGCAGAGGCAACTATGTCCCCATCCCAGAGGAAAGCCCAGGAAGGAAGAGGTCCCAGCAGAGTGCAGAAACACAAGAGCTGTCTACTTGGTGTGTCTAGGCAAATGGCTCGCAGCCTCACAGGGTTTCTCCCAAGGAGTTTGTCTTCAACATGGCACCTGAGGTATCAGGATAATATGGGTGCAAGCAGACAACAAAGCAGCAGCAGTTCCTGGACCTTGGAGGGTTACAGCAGCAACCTTTTCACCTCCTCCTTCCTTTGAATTTCTACCTGTATCTCCCATTGTCAGAGTTAAGTTAGAAGCCAGCTGGCAGAGGATTATGAGCAAGATAGCTTGCAGACTATCACCCAATACAGAAGAGTGGGCTTCTCTGCAGATGCCAGTAGACGAAGCATTGACAGACAAAGATTCAGGGGTGCCTGGGTGGCTCAGTCGATTAAGTGTCTGACTTTGGTTTTGGCTCTGGTAATGATCTCAGAGTTCATGGGTTCAGGCCCTGCATTGGGCTCTGCACTGACAATGCAGAGACTGCTTGGGATTCTGTCTCCCACTCTCTCTGCC